TCAAAACTTTAAGGGTGATGGATGATTACATCGTCTTCAAGTATCTTCTGCTTCTATCAACTTTATCTGTGCTTGACTGAGAAGCCTACTGTGTAGGCGAAACGTTTCACAATAAAGATACCTAATGTTGCATATGTGTCTTACTAACAAGAAATTAATAAAAATTATTAAGTAATTTTGAATCACAGACATCAGTTTGACATTACTTAGCATGCATTTTGGGTCATCTTTTTAAGACATAAATAGCTGGATTTGGGGAAACTTTGCTTGTTTAAAAGAACAAGTGCATAAAATTATTAAATTATGTTTAGTACAAATAAGAAAGAAAAAAAAATAAATTATATTATAAAATAGTTATATATTTATATATATTATTATTATATATATATTATATTTTAAATTTATATATATATATAAATTATAAATATTATATATTATATATAATATATTAAAATATATAATATTATATATATAATATATATATATATATATATATATATATATATATATATATATTATATATATATATATATATATTATATTTATATATATATATATAAATAAATAAAGTTCAATAAAGTGAAATCCTGCATAACCTCTTTTATATACCATATAACTGGAAAGACAGAGTTCCCTTGCAATGCAAGCTTCCTCATTCCATCCCCTCCAGTTTACATGTGAGACACTTACCCCCATCTGTGATTCATGCATCATCATCTTGCAAATTCTATTTCTCTTTTTATGAAGACAATGAAGGTTTTATTTAAATTATACTTACTTTGGTTGAGCTGACTAAACTCTCATCTAAATTTACAACTGAAGAAATCTTGCCAAGTCACAGAGATAGTAAAACTATACATCAACTAGTAATACCTTCTAAAACCTTAAACCAATACCTTTTACATCAGCTATCAACACTATGTATGGCCAATGTGCTCTGGTTAATACAGTATTAAAATTTTCTACAAAAGTAATTGTTTCATGCAAACTCTTCTTCTCTGACATTTTTACAAGTAACATTTTCATACAAATGTTTTCTGATTTTCTTTATGAATACCACAAAGATTTCTTAACTGTTCAAAAACAACACTTCCTATATCTGCCTTTGTTTCACCCTAAACTTGATGCAATATTTATATAACATTAAACCATATAGAGCACCTGTCTATATATACAGTACCAACTCCAGCCATACTGAAAGCAGGATTGTCTAGCACATTCAAAAGTTTCACCTTTAATTATTATAAAAATATTAAAGAAGTTTGCATGCAGAAATGACTTGTTTTTAGTGAAAAAAGTACATATACCACCTCTAAATAAATGAGGATTTCCACATTAAGTTGGACGTCAAAAATAAATAAAAAATATAAAAAATTAATGCAATGAAAGACACCATCTAGTCATGAATATCAGTAAGCAGCAACCTTCAATATAGTTTTTATTGTTTAGTAGTAATGATTCATAATGAATGGACTGGTGTAGTGAGTGTGGCTGGTCTAGCAGGCTGGTGGGGGCAAGCCAGTGGGCTGAGCAGGTAGGGTAGATTTGCTTTGGTTCGATGTCATTAATAATTTAGATATTTTGCTAAAAATTTGTTGACCTGATTCAAAAATTTTTTTCAATATTGTATGCTATCACCATTTGAATATTAAGCAGAAAAAAGTATTTTTTCTTCAAATTTTGATGGTTTTGAGAAGTTCTGTGCATTGGCTAATTTTAATACCTCTCTGCATAAGCTATTGTGCTTTTGGATGTGATCTAATTCTACCAGTGCCCAGGAAAAAGTGTAAACAACTGTACCTCATGTACTTTCCTTATTCAACTGTTTCACTGAACAGTTTCTTTCTTGTTTTTATAATGCATTACATTTTGTCATACATTTTCAAAATGGTAGTACCTTTGTTATACTTTAGCCTGTTCCATTTTTGCATCACAAAACCCGCCAATTTTCTCACAGCCTACCCACATGTCAACAATGTGGCATGGTAAGTGTACAAGAGATGTTTTTGCATACTAATCAAGCCATCATAAAATATATCACATTTTAAGGTAAGGAAATTCTAAAGAAAATATTCAGTTACCTGTACACCATATTATAAAACTATATACTATATATTGTTGTTAAATTCTAACATGCTGGTTAGCTTATCAAGTACGGTCTCTAGCTCATTGTTACCAAGTATTAATGGTCTTACTGCATACAAAATATAAAAAAAGAAAAATATCAATACAGTATTTTCACTTTACAGAATGAGAATGTAGGGTAGGCTTAAAGAAATGATTGTGCAGTTGCAATGTAGCCAAAAATAAAAGGCTATCTAACCAATACCAGGGCAATCTCTTAACCTGAACCAGGTTATTTTATTCCTCGGGCAAATGATATAAAATAGTCTATTTCCTGTACATTGAAAAATGCTAATATTCAGCAAGGGAGAGACAGGAGTTAGAACTGGAAAAAAAAGTGGCAAGTAAGTAAAAGTTGTTAAGGTGTTCCAATCTAAGTGAACATAGTACCTTAATTCCCAAAGGTGTACATAGCTATACAGCATGACACAGCTGTGAAATCATCAGAAAGAGCTTGAAATATAAAACAATACTTTAAAGACATATTCCAATAACTGAAGTGTGTTGCTGGTGTAAAACACTGAAGGAAGTTCCCAAGAATTATATAGCAGAACTTCTCAATAAATGTAAGACTACCAATAATGGGATGTATATTTGTGTGTGTCCATGATAGTCAAAAGAATATAAAGTACATTAAACTCTTGTCATTTGCAAGGGATGCAACCCATAAAAACCTCATTAATGGCAAAATCTGGACTTGGAAGTCCAAGTCCGTGGAAAATAAAAGGCTAGTGTGTGAGTTACACAAGGCCCACTACCCCATATGCTTTCCTCAACATAAATAAATGAGTAATCTTCACAATCTTCAAGTCAGCTTCCTTAGAAAATATTAAATCCTGAGGGACCATGAGGGTCTTGGTGATCATACGCAGAATCCTGCCACTAGCTTACGGAATGTGCCAATTTGAAGTTGAGAGGATTCCTTCTTAGAGAGAGGGGAGACTGTCAAATTTTGCCACTTAAGGTAAACCCTTCAGAGTTCAGCAGTTATGCCTTCAGCTCACAACTAATGAACCTGGGTTCAATCCTTGGGAAGCTGAACCTGTTCACCTGACAGTATATAGTCACCTGTGCATTAGCATAGACTTGTTAGTGGAACCCTGGATGAGGATGGGGGAATGGTTGTATACCTTAAGGATGACTTTGTAATAAGATGAAAAGAAGTAATGACACTTAGACTGTAATTATGAATTTGTAAAACTGATTTTAATAATTTGTTGGTTATCATTTCTTGACTATATTTTTGTATTTTATTAACTTCCAAGTTCTTGAAGTACAGTGGAACTTCAGCTTACGAATGCCCCACCATACAAGTTTTTCAGGATATGAGCAGTCGCTCGGTCGATTTTTTGTTTCTGGATACAAGCAAAAATTCAAGATGCGAGCTTCCCCCTCAAACAACTTTTTTTAGACCTCCAGATCTTACAAAAATGAAAGTGAATATATAATTGTAGTTCTTGTTGTGATGTATTATATTGATTTTACTGCTTAAGACTATAACTGCAACATAAATAATAGTATTTCTTACCTTAAATTGTGGGTGCTGGTGTTTGTCGATGACTGTGAAGAGTGGAGAGTTATGCTGTGCCCCTACTGGGGTGAGGTGGATGGTAGAGGTTCTGGTACTGAAGTCGATGGTTGTACTGGAGTGTGCATAAATTCTGTAATGGATTTCTGTTCTATTTTACCCTGCAGTACATTATACAACTGACGGTAAGGCATCAGCTGCTCTAGACACCATTTCAGGGAAAAAGTCTAACTTTAAGTCATTCAGTCAAGTCAAGTCAAGTCAGTCAAGTCATTCTGTCAGTCAATCAGCCAGTCTTTCAGTCAAGTCATTCAGTCAGTCAATCAAGTCAATAAGTCAGTCAGTCAAGTCATTCATTCAGTCGAGTCAGTAAGTCAGTCAGTCGAGCCAGTAAGTCAGTCAGTCGAGCCAGTAAGTCAGTCAGTCGAGTCAGTAAGTCAGTCAGTCGAGTCAGTAAGTCAGTCAGTCGAGTCAGTAAGTCAGTCAGTCGAGTCAGTAAGTCAGTCAGTCAAGTCAATAAGTCAGTCACCACCACTAGCCACATACGTAATGACATATTTTATTCATTCTAGTGCATATATCATGTTTCTATGTTATTAATATTCTTTATTATGTCATAGTAGATGAATTAGATAAGCCGTAGAGTTGATATTAATGAAATATTGAAGTATTTTGTCATGCCTGCAATTCCGCTGGGATGGATTAATGCCATTTCAATTAATTTAAATGAGGAAAATCGACTCAGCATACGAGCAAATCAGGATACGAGCAAGGTCACAAAACGGATTAAATTCGTAAGCCAAGGTTCCACTGTATACAGTATGTCATGAACAATTGTCAAGCAGAAAGAAATTGAATGCTTGTATCACATATGGCAGATCTAGTCTCAAGACAATTAACCATGAATATTTAAAACCAGAGCCTAAATACCTGCATATGGCAAAGGTTTACTGCTGTGAAAAATGTTTCTAATGTTCAAACAGTACATGATGATGTATACAGAGAGCAAAGTACTTTTAAGTAACTGGCTGTGATTGCATCTTCCAATATTCAACATTACCATTACCAGCTAAACATTACATGTTTAATCTGAAATTCATGAATAATATTAACACATTTCATCAAGAGGAATACTGTTGACTTACAGTGAAACAATTTTTAGCGCAAAATTAAATAACGATAGCTTCATCAAATTTAAATAGGATTTAAGCTATAAACAATATTGTTTATAAATTTTTAACACCTTATTTATTCAAATGCCAGTACATTACAACAGCTCATTAGTTAAATCAATAGTTTTTAAAAATGCGACTGAAAAGGTAATAAAAACAGTAAGCAGTGTACTCACAAGCAGGTTTACTAGTTGCTGGTGGGGGTGGAGGAGGCTGACCTCTGGGCCAGCGTGAAGAGGAACTACTTCTATAGTCTCCCAGGCCACGCTCCTCAGTCGAGCTGTGGTGCTCTGCACTACGCTGGCATACTGGCGAACTAGAGCCTGGCAAGCTTACAGGACGACTCCTTACTACTTTTTCTGGGGTTGACATGCCATTTGGCTAAAATAATGAAAATAGATGTAGTATGTGATTATTTAAATATTTTTTTATTATACATTCAGCTATTCAACATCCTTGTAATTTGTTTATTAATCTTAAAACAAATAAATGAAATCTATATACAATACCTTAATTCCTGAACACACAATGTATCTTTAACATACAGTATCTCTGTAAACCCAATGTACTTTATAACAATCATTTCCTTCTTCCATCAGCATATCTTTCAAACTTTGTATGCAAGTATGCATACATACACAATCATGCATGCATATCTTCATAAATATTACCCTGCTCATACTCCAACAGCATACAATCATAAAAACCACCTCCCTCCACTCACTCCTATTTAATGTGCTTACACAAGTCTATTGGATGTCCAAACCCCTAACATTCAAACCTGCTTCACCCTCCCTTTCCAGCCTTCTTAAGATGATCCTTACCCCTCCTTCCCTCCACTGCTGATTTGCATATCCTCCTAGTCATTCTATTTTGCTTCATCCTTTCATGATGTCCGAGCCACCTTAACCCTGCCTCAGCCCTCTGAATATTTCTCTTCTAAATCCACACCTTCTAATATTATCAAGTTCCAAACTTTCTGCATAATATTCACATAACACTGTGAAATTAATCACACCATCTCCACTGCCTCCAATCTTCTCTTTGATGTTACATTTAAAATCCATGCTTCACACCCATATAATAGAGTTGGTACTACTAAACTATGGTGCATTCCTCTTTCTGCTTCCATGGATAAAGCTCTTTCTCTCCACAGATGCCTCAACACATCACACACCACTTCTATGGTTAACCTCATCTTTCACAAGCCTATCCACTGACAGCTTGACCTTCAAATATCTGAACACATTCACCTACTTCATACTCCCTACCTTCAACCTGATATCCAATCTTTTACTGTGTACACTATATTTTTTTATAAACTTTCATTACCTTGCCCCTTCCTTTATTTACCTTTAACTTCCTTCTTTTACATACCCTCCCAAATTCCTCCACAAATCTTTGCTACTTCTCTTCAGAAATTTTTTCTTACTAAACGTTGCACTATTCTGTCTAGAAGCCATCCTGAGAAAGTTGTATGAGAAAGATGGCTCCATTATGATTTTGAAATCTCCATGACAAAGATTAAGGTAGTGAGGGTAGCTATAAACAAAAGGTTCAGTCTTATGAGATCCTATTTATTTATCTCAGTTATGTACTAGCATTAAACATATATATTTTCCTTTGTTTTCCTTACCTTGAAAATTTCATCATCATCTGACATATCAGTCAAATTATCATCTGAGATGTTCCACTCATATTCTACATTCTCAAACATGGACTTCTTCTGTTGTTGTGCTTGAGTGAGCTGAAACAAAAGATATGTTGAAACTAAATGGCATACTGCAGACAACAGCAAAGAAAAGAAGACTTTGCAGAATAAACTTTCGTTGATGAAGATCTTAATAAAGTTCCAATAAAATCTTGTTCTGTAAAGTGACCTGTGTCACAAGAGAACTGAACTACCAACTATTATAAGCAAGGTAAATTGCTATATGATTAGATACAGTATCCCTGAACCACATTAATTCCAGTCCCATATCCCAGTATATTTTGAAAAAAAAAAAATAAAAAAATAGGAACTAATCTAATACAGAAATCTTCTCCTCTTCCAACAAATATTAAAAAGTGTGGGACATTTTTAACCTTTTCAGTGTCAGAACCCCCAAAATTAAAAGTGCTGACAATCTCAGGAATTTAAAAATAAAGTATGTACTAATATTTTCTTCTGAAATGGTTAAAAATCTTATTCCAACACCAAACAATCAAAATCTGATGGAAAACCTATGGATTTACTCAGGAACAAAGTTGGCGTGCTAAACACAATTTACGCATCAGCTATTTCACCCACTTCAAGTCTGTTCTATCAATTCAGCACCAGAAACCCCCATTCAACTTTCACAGCTGCCCTATGAAGTGCACAGAAATTGGTAATTTGGCCAATTTTACACAAAATTAAAACAATCATATTTGAAAACAAGGTCTAATATAAACAATAAGGCAATGTTTCCTGTTCAATAATCATGACCTCAGCCTCTCCTATATTACAACTGCCCTCCATTTTGAAGTCATCACAAAAAAAATACTTTTTTTTACCCGATTTCACAGATTAATAAAATATAATTAGGAATGACTGGTCATGGTTTGAGGCATCCCAATAATTGAAGAACACTTAGTAAAGACCTCATGAAAGAGACCAGAAGGGTAGGGAGAGACTTACCCATCTTCCAGAAAATCATCAAGAATTTAAAATTTCCTCTACTTTAACCCTAATTTCAAGCTACTTATGGTCCTGAAACCAACCAAAATCATCTATTTCAGTGGTATGTCTTCCACTCTATAAAGGATAGCAAGAAACAGCCAATAAAACCATAAAAACCATCCTAGAAAACACCTCGAACTCACTATTTTAAACCAAACACAAGGTTAGAGGTTTGCTTTTCCCATCATGTAACACATAGGGCAGGATTTTTTTTTTTATACTGTGCACTCTCACCACACAAATCCATTCCCTCATGTCTAAGTCAAAATTTACTGCTCACAGTTTATCTGAGAGAGACGAGCTCAAAACTTAGATCTATATGCACATTTTGTCAGTAATGTAGATCTACATAATAGACAGTGAAAGGGTTAAATGCAACACTTAATGAAGCATCCCTTAGTTTTATAAATTGCTACATGTACATTTTTTAAACCAATGGCTATTTTTTCCAGAGTAGGATGGCCTATTTGTAGCTATAGGTGCAGAACTATGCTTGTGTATTCCATCTTCCATATTTAATCTTCAGACATTCATTTTAAATGTCAAATGATTGCAGCACACACTGGCCTGCATACTACTCCAAGATAGGCTTAACATGTTATTTTTTTTTTATTTATTAACACATTGGTCTTTTCCCACCAAGGCAAGATGGCCCAAAAAAGAAAAACTTTCATCATTCTCTTACCAGAGGGGTGCTCACACAACAGTCATAAAACTGTAACATTAACACCCCTCCTTCAGAGTGCAGGCACTGTACTTCCCATCTCCAGGACTCGTATCCGTCCTGCCGGTTTCCCTGAATCCCTTCGTAAGTGTTACCTTGCTCACACTCCAACAGCACGTCAAGTCTTAAAAAACCATTTGTCTCCATTTGCTCCTATCTAACATGCTCATGCATGCTTGCTGGAAGTCCAAGCCCCTCACACACAAAACCTCCCTGGCCCCCTCCCTCCAACCTAGGCCGACCCCTACCCCGCCTTCCCTCTACCACAGATTTATACACTCTCAAAAGCATGCTATTTCGTTCCATCTTCTCTACATGTCTGAACCACCTCAACAACCCCTCCTCAGCCCTCTGGTATAATAGTTTTGGTAATCCTACACCTCCTCCTAATTTCCAATCTAACACTCTCTGCATTATATTCACACCATACATTGCCCTCAGACATGACATCACTGCCTCCAGCCTTCTCCTTGTTGTGACATTCATCACTCATGCTTCACACCCATATAAGAGTGTTGGCAAACACACAAGACCTCTTCACCCCAACCAATGGCACTGACTACAGCTTATCAACATCCTCAGGTATGGCACAGGTGAACACCATTCAGAAGATTTTACAAGAAAATTATATCCTCAAACTACAAAATGAAACCTATGAAAAAAGAATTAAAGACTCAGAATGCTCTCTAGTAACTCATAACTCAAGGATCATTGAACTGGAGACAAAACTAACAAACTTGGCAACAAAGACCAAACAATACACAAACATGCAAACAACTCTCATTAGCCCCACTAAACAACTAGCTTCCCTAACAACTAAGTTATCAGAGGCTGAATGAGACTGGAGGGCAAACATGGACTCTCAATGGAGTGCATGCCTACAGTATCAAAGGGACTTACTGGAACAAGATAAATTGCAAGATGCTATTATTGTTAACAGTCCCAGCTTACCAACAGACACAAACCAGGGGGCAATTGCACACAAAATGCTCTTCAGTTAATCAAAGACAAGATGAAGGTTAACACTGAAGCTGCCCATATCAAGAAGGCTCGACTGCTAGGCAGACTGGGTCAAAAACAAAGTGTGATGCTAAGATTTCACTAACTTGGCCGAAAAAAGGACCTTATAGATTCTTCCATCCATGTGAATTGTGGAGTGTTTGTTAATAAATGTTTAACAAGAAAGCAACAAAACCTACTGTACAGACTTTGTACACTCAAACGTGAAAATAGTGATAGAATTAAAAAATGTTTCACTCGTGATGGCACAATCATAGTGAAATGATCGGGCATGGGTCAAGGGTATGAAATAACATATGAACATGACCTATCATGTTGGTCTGACTGAGTCTGGTTAATCCACACTCAATCCCTTGATCATTTTTTTTCTACCTCCTGCCTTAATAACAGTATTATCAGTTTAAAGATTATATTGAAAAGTACTGTGCATTCATTTGTCTAGCAAAAAAGGGTATACATATATTTTTCTTACGTAGTTAACTCCAAATGCCCTATTCGACTTACCCCCCAATTTTTATTATAAAGTAATTATAGTTTTCCTATATACTTTTGTTAATTAACCATATTAATTAGTTTTATTTGTTTTCAGATTAAGCCACTTCAAACTAATATAGTACAGTAGAGCCCTGCTTTTCGGCTTTTCGCCTTACGGCATTCCGCTAATACAGCGATCTCAAATTATGGCAAGTGGTCTTTCAAATATGGCGTGCGCCACCCAGTTTGTTTACATTCTCCGTGAGCACATCTCTCTATTATGTAATAATAATCACTCTTGAGCACACTAAATGCCTAATTTTACATCAATATAGGCATTTTCATTAATTCATCTATGGTATTTTCTTCAAAATTATACAAGAAACAAGTTACACAGCATATAAACATGCTATTTATATGCTATGGAGGCGTGGTTGCCTGGTGTAGGGAAAACATTACATAATACTAATAATAATCACCCTTGGGCACATTAAATGTCTTATTTTACATTAATATAGACAGTTTCATTAATCCATCTATGATATTTTCTTCAAAATTATATAAGAAACAAGTTACATAGCATATAAACATTTTATGTGTACAGTGGACCCCCGGTTAACGATATTTTTTCATTCCAGAAGTATGTTCAGGTGCCAGTACTGACCGAATTTGTTCCCATAAGGAATATTGTTAAGTAGGTTAGTCCATTTCAGACCCCCAAACATACACGTACAAACGCACTTACATAAATACACTTACATAATTGGTCGCATTGGGAGGTGATCGTTAAGTGGGGGTCCACTGTATATACTATGGAGGTGTGGTAGCCGAGTGGATGGAAAACATTACATCACTCCCCTTAATACATAACGCTTTTGTTTACAAGTCTCGGCTTGAAGTATTCATTACTTCTCCCTTTGTTTATGATGACATCTAAAGGTAGTTGTTAGAAACGATTAAACTCAGTGAACATGGTATGTTGATGGTAACAATATGGCTCTGGGTCCTATTAAATATCGTGTAGCTATGTAGGTAGGTGTAGGTATGTAGACCAGGCGGACTACATACCTACATTATTATTATAATTGATAATTACACATATGTGTACCTGTACATAAGTATGCCTTCACTCAAGGCATCATTTCTTCTAAAAATAATGTTACATGAGAATGGGAGTGTTTCTCTTTATTTATTCTACTGTATCAACGTGGAGACAACTTGTACACAATGTAAAGTGACGAAAACCAGACACATTCATCTGGTTTGTTTACATTACATGTGGGTGGGGTGGGCAGGGCTTCCCTGGCTGGATTCCATACTTCCCAAACCTGACTTCCTACAAATACAACTCACCTCTCACCCTACATTAAGACTACAAATATTTTAAGGTAAGTAATGGGTGTATTGTGTGTGTATTTTACTTTTTATTGTTTTTAATGCCTAATTCTATTGCTAACATAATATATGTTAGTGTAAACTTGTTATCTGGCATTTATATGCATTTATAAGTGGAAAAAATGGTGTTCTGCTTTTCGGCGATGTCTGCTTTCCGGCAGTACCCTGAAACCTAACCTGCCGAATAAGTGGGTCCCTACTGTACTAATTCTAGTACAGTGGACCCTCGACCAACGATGGCATTGTATAACGTTAAATCCGACTAGCGATACATTTTAACGCAAAAATTTTGCCTCGACTAATGATAAAAAACTCGACCTACGCAATTCGTTCCGTTCGAGACGCGTCCACGTGTGGCCTGAGCATGCCTCACTTGTCCCATGGGTGCCAATGTTTACAAGCCAGCCACCGCGGTCGCATCCAAACATACAAT